ATAGGGTGCTCATAATTCTTGAGTATCCTGTAAAGCAAATGTCGCCATATTACAATTTATAGCTCAAGCTGCATTTGCAAGGTGGGCAGCGCGTGGATGGAACTCAGAAAGCTGGGAGAGACCGGGAACCAAACTGGCCAATCAAAACAAACAAAAATAAAGAAAATAAACCAATCATCAGGTCTTAAAGCAAAAGATCAGTTTTCAACACAACATGTTACAGTATAGTTGAACAACACAACACATGTTGCTAACACTTGTTAGACACGTTTTGACAGTGTCACAACTGATTTTGCAAAAAGTTGGAGATGTTGGAAAAAGTTTGAAAATAGTCAAATTTGTCGGGTAACATGTTTGTGACTTTGCATAAGATTGTACTTGTTTGGTCACGTTCGGACGGAACGTTTGTGCAACAGAATCCGCGCGGCAGAGTGCAGCATTGTTCTAGCCCAACATGCGTCCTATTTCAAAGCGCCCGGGGCGCAACGGGTTGTTAACATTTCTTTACCCTGCCCCCGGGGGGTACTCCCAAAAAAGTGGGGTAGGGGTGTGCGGCCCGCTTCCCAAAACCCTTACCCTATTTATGAGCAAAATCTGCGATATGATCAAAATGGCCAAAATCAGCTAAAATCGATATCCTATTTATGACCAAAACGGCTGAAAAACCATACCCTTCGGGGCCGCACGTACCTATATACATAGCCCATATAAGGGAGTGCCTCCCTACAACGTCTTGTGCCGTTACTTCCTGTGCAGTATTTGCAAAGTAACTCTTTCCTTGTCTTCCTCAATCTGCGTAATCTATGCCGAGTTTTGGACCTTGCCTTCTCTCTCATCGTCCTCTAGAAGTTGCACCAGTGAAAAGGCGAATTTCTACATCTGTTACGATATGGCGTCTGATGGGGCAAATACAACATCGACAGGCGTGTCACATCCTGCATGATGTTGCGTGCGTTTGGTCAACTTCTTGAAAACATGTCAGAACTGATCCAGCGTAGAGATGATCGATGTGTACATCACTCACTCCCTACTGCGCATCTAAGATACCTTCAAGACTCACGTACCTTGCCTAACACGCCCATTGTGCAAGTGGCAGGGTACATTCTTAAGAAGATAGGGCAAAAGAAGGGAGCTCCCCGCTGAAAGCGTCAAGTCCTTTATTTCGCTTCTACTTCGGGTTAAAGATTTACGAACATTTCATTGCTTTATACATGTTGCGTGACAATTCAACACCGTGGATACCGCATGAGCAAGAAAACACTTTAAGGAAATGTAATCCCCGAAGGAAACAGGATTAGACACGGCTCGTATGTCTATGATTATTGGCGACTATAAATTTTGCAAAGGATTTCGCAGCGAGGCAGAGACGAAATTTGCTGCAATTTTTCCCGCCTGAAAAAATCACCTCGTTTGTCGCGTGCTTTACCCAGTAACGCCCTAAAATAACTGGGTTATACAGTTAATTTCGTCGAATATCGTGTTGGGTGAACATTTGTTAACTCAGACTTTAGCGCACACATTGAGACCTGTCGAAAAAAAAAAGTAAACATTAGAAGCAAAGACTTGAAAGGTCTTGAAATCTTGAAAGCCGAGTCCACGAGAAACTCTACAGTTGGCACTATCTAATTGGCTTAGCGTACAACACCAGCTGACCATGAAGGACCTTCGGGCGTTCCTGATAAAATGTTGTTTGCGTATGTGACTGACAACTGTGGTATATGTTTTTATCCAGGATTAATTTTTCATCTCGAAACTACGCACATAAAATGAGGTTTGGAAATCAACGGTTAATGGTTTGTTTATTTATTTTTTGAGGCAATAACAGTGAAACGAAAAAGAAAGATTACTTCAGGATAAGTTCCTCTTCATAAATGGGTTATTGTATTCACGTTCAGTTTAGGCGTTAGCTAGCTAGACAAGAAAAAATAAACAGCTAGCGCGACTATCCTAAATTATTCACATTTTTTTAAAAAGATCACTACGGGTTATGGGTCGACCTGCACCGTACACAAGGTTCTTTTTTATGGGCCAAACGAAACAATAGGGAAAGAACAGAAACAATGCCCTAAACACAAGAGAGGTGCAGATTAACAAGAACGAATCAAAATGGAGTTTTCAAAAAGGGTGCAGTGCATGTTATTACTTCCCTGAAAGCTAACACTTGACTGGTGAGGAAATATTGTATGTCCGTGAGACCACCTGACTCAATTTTCGAGTGTTCCACTTCAATTTCCTTTGTTATTTATCGGTCCAGCGCGGGAAACAAGTCATAATTGTTTTTGAGGGTGAGATAAATTACTTTGTTTGGCTCGTCACGATAGATAGCGTGACAGATGGCGAATTCATGCGTAACGTATAACCGGGCTATATAAGGCTCGAGTAATTACTAGTACACGATAACAACGGTTGCCGGTGGGGAGCGTTCATCATTCACGAGTAGCAACTCTCAGTACATAGCTGCACTGCAAAAAAGACAAGTAAGAAAGACACTAGGGTAAGCTGTAAACACTTATTATCGTAGGATATTTGACAAACATTAGACAACGTACTATGTTACATGCACAGCGACGGTTTATGCTCGATAGTTGCGTGAGATATCGAGCCAAGGCGTGGGCCTCTTCTCACACACTGAAATTAATGTAACATCGATAGGTTTGCTTTTAAATTTTAACTAGCTGTTTATATACGACCGGCTAGTCGAATAAAACAGTGCGTTTCATTCCCTGAAAATAGTTTGCTTATTTCGCCGAATTATGCTTCATTAGTACTGACCTCGATGTAATCACAATACGATTGGCTCAAAATTTGTTCGCGTGACAACTTTGTGCGTGCGTCGAGTGTTTCAACTAGCTTTTTCATTCGATCCTCCATTCATTTCACCTCCTGAAAAGGCTTATTTGCTTTGCCGCATGATGCTTTACCGTGATGCAAAAACACATCGGTCGGGTTACAATTCATTTTCGTGAACGGTCAAACGGCCGTCTGCCATCAGATCACGTTATTTTAACACGTGATTTGTGTCTGAAACGTACCAAAATCGCGGGTGATATTTTTTATGCTGTAAACGTAAGCTTAAAAGGATCTTACTGATCGAGCTTGAGAGATCTCAGTTTTCATTATTTCCGGTGAACTTTGAACGGGCGGCAAAAAGACTCAAACAAATGCAAATGTATTTGCTATGTATTACAAAGAATGCATTATCCACATGAACGTCACAAAACAACGCGTATTTGAATTATAGTGATGGGTCGTGGTCGATTAGCGTTGCAGACAGAACCCTTCAGTCACTATAGAAAATAATTTCCCTTTGTTATCCGCCCTGGGGATTCGGGCTGTTCTTTTTAAAATGAAGTAAGGCAAGCAAGGCTAGATTCAAATTTGGTTGTTAGGTCGGCAAGAACTGTCATTTATTAATCAAGACAGGATGAAAGGGAATGATGTAAAGTATAATCCACGCCACGTAGCTTGGAATTACAGTTATTGTGTTTTCACTTGGCCTTACAATATCATTTTTCCTTTATGGTAAATAAGCGGCCAGATTGCAGTCGAACCTCTCCACAGCGGCATCCCTGGGGACAGAAAGAAGTGGCCGTCGTAGCAAGGTGACCGTTTTGGGGGATTAGGGGTGTAATATGAAAGTTTTTCTTTTACGTAGTGCAACATTTTTTTGTGAAAAAATGCTCATTTTTACCGAGGATTTTTGCAGCCATTTGACATCTCAGAGGGCTTTATACCCTAGGAATACGGTACATAATCATTTTGCACTGACTCTCAAGTCTTGAAAAGCAACTTTTATTCAAAACGCACGCTCTGTGCAAAGGAGGGTACAGTCGGCAAGTGAGAGCTTTACCGAGATGTAAAAGTCGACAGAATTTACGTGACTGCTTCGATCCCCGGGGATTGCTCAAGCATGCGTCGACTGTCAGATCACGTCATTTTAACACGCGATTCGCGTCCGAAACAGCACCAAAATCGCGGGTTATATTTTAAATGCTGCAAAAGGATCTTGCTGATCAAGTTTGAGACATCTCAGTTGCCCATTCATCTGTTCGTGAAATTACCGGTGAACTTTGAACTGGTCACAAAAAGACTAAAACAAATGCAAATGTATTTTCAATGCATTACATTATAGAATGCATTATCCATGGGGACGTCACAAAACAACGCGTATTTGAATTTTAAAAAGTGATGGGTCTGGATCGATTAGCGTTGAAGTATAAAGGGGCCTTCAGAGTACAGGGAGCAGAAAATGTCGAATTCAGCATTGAGCATTTTGTTAGTTGGCCCCACGGTTTTATTTTGCACTGAACACGCTGGTTATCTACTCCCATCTGATTGGTTTACAAACAGTGGAATTTGGTGGCTACATCATAGCTTGCATATGCGCCGAGCCTTGAAACTATCCCTTTGTAATGAAATGTTGGTGCAGGGCTTTCAAATTCAAGTATTTCTCTCCATCGCACCCGCGCGCCGATTGTATATAGCCCAATACCACAGCACCAAAATCGCAGGTAATTATATATTTTAAAATTTAAAATGCTTTAAAGAAGATCTCGACACTTGTCCATTCATCTGTCCACAAAATTTCCGTTGAACTTTGAACGGGTCGCTATACATCACAAAGAATGCATTATCCATGGGGACGTCACAAAACAAAGCGTTTGGGTCGGAATCGACTAGCGTTGAAGAATAAAGGGGCCTTCAGTAACTATAGGAAATTCGTAGGAATACGGTATATAATCATTTTGTACTGATTCTCAAGTCTTGAGAAGCAACCAGTTTTATTCTAAACGGACACTCCGAGCAAAGGTGGGTACATTCGCCACGCGGAGATTTTGCTATAACTCAGCGTACAACACACCTGTCCTCTCGCTCAATGACATTTTCATTGCTTTTCTGACCTTTTCCAGTCTCGGTTACAGTTAAAAGCTTCGCTAATTACTTAAGCCGCCGCTTCAATGCTTCAGCATTCCTTCCCGTTGTTTTTGTAAGCTGCGTCAAATCACTTCCCTTTCTCGGAAAACAAGGAAATCCTTAAAGAAGTTAAAAACAACATCTGCAATCAATTTTTATCGCTTAGTCCTCGTATGCGCCTCTAGATACCCCGGCGGGAGCTCACTGTGCATTCAAAAGAGCGATACAGTACCAGATAGTTCATTGAATAAGAGAAGGGAGAGAAACGTAAGGTAAGACACGGGACGAAAAGTAAAGTAAGCTGTTTAAACCACTGTCCAGTTAAATTTCATAGGGAACTGAATCAAACTTTTCTTTGGAAAACCTGAGCACATTCTTCACCTTTCCACGCGCAATCAGTGGAAGTAAAGAACAGCCAAAGTTTAACTGCAAGACTTTAAACTGGACTCAAATGGACTTGATCCGCGATCAGAGCCGAAATGACCTTTTCGGTTTAAATTTTCTTAAGATATTAATGCGCGATACAAAAGACTTAAACGCTTTAATGTAAAAATATTAAGAAGGAATTGAAATTGCTTTCGGTGGTCTTCCTAGTTTTTCTTCAGTTCACAGGCTATCTGATACATTACACGGTATGAAATGGAGTGGAGCCCATTCATAAAATGTACGAAGAATTGATTAAGCTTTACAGGTTGCGCCCTCTTTCTAGTTAAATTTACCGCAAGAGCTTTTGCAACCTTGGGTTTGTCTTGTAGAATCCGTACCTAGCCGTTTTTTATGTCAGGTTAAGATGTAACGACGGGTTTGTTTTCCGAAAATAATCAACGTGTTTTTCAAGTTTTATCAAATTTAAGCGTAATATTTGGTCTAACATTTCTAAGCGGAAAATTGATATTATCTTAAAACGTATTCGACCTAATTTCCACGAAATAGCAACATATTTATATTACAGTTTCATTGAAATGCGGAAGCGTTGAAGCAAACTTCCGCGGCGGCAAACTTTATTTTCTTTTTACTAAATGCCATAAGGCTTTTAAAGTAGATTACAGAGAAAGCGAGGTATGAATTTTTTAATCTGTTATGATTTGGGCTAATTATGGCAATTCGCCCTCCTGTGGAATTCGCTGATTTCTTCAATGGACCAAGCCACTATTAAGGAGGTTTTAAATCAATTTCGCTCTTAGGGCGCTTTTTGCTTGAAATCTATAAGGGTGACTTGAGGGGTAGTTTGAATCAGTTTGAAGAAAACCATATCTCCCATTGAAAACATGGCAAGCTTCCTTATTAGTTTCTATTAGCAAGTATTTTAATAACTGAAATAACCGCGAAATGATTTGGGTAGTTCTCTTGGAAATGCTCTTGGCAACTGCTAATGAACGGTACCATCAGAAATCTTATCTGATCAGTTCTATTGATTCTTGAAATTGCAAAATAGTCGTTTATTTTTCGAAGATTAATAACTTCTCGAAATTGAAAATGACACACTACTTCCTTGTCCCGAAGGCGATGAAAATTACAATATGGTAATAACACATTTATTTCCCGCCGTCCAGTCGGTTCGTTCCCAGAGCATTCTCTAAACTAATGAAAGCGGCTTCTTGAAAACGCGTGGATAGTTTTTGAAAAAATTTCCTGGCACACTCGAAAGATTTCCAATACTTATTATCCAACTAAAAATTGTGCGACCAGTTGAAACTATCCAGAAAGTTTTCGGCATCATGTTGCCATTATCCTCCGTGCACACGTCTACTAATTAATCCTTTTCACGCTGAAAAGGCGACTTTTTCCGCGTGAGACGTTTGCACGCAACCTCGATCCCAAGCTCTCTCTACTGTGCAAGAAAAGAGAGGAGCCTGGGATCAAGGTTGTCTGCACGTTGGCTAGGCACCGTCAGTTCCTTAGCAATTTTGAGACGAAAACTTTGGAGCTCCAGTCTCGATGACCGGAATACAAATATACGTCAGCAGTTCAAAAGACGGACCAAATCCTCTCACACTCAAGTTGAGTTATCTAAACTACTTGGAGCTAAACAATCGAAACTAGAAAGAGTATTTCGCAAAAGCAAGGTGTGTCATGTGATTTATTATTTCATTTTTTTTTTTTTTTTCATTAGAGCAAAATGAGTTCAAAGTATTCCAGTCCCGAGGAGTTTCTAGATTACGTCAAGAGAAAGAATCCTGGAGAGCACGAATTTCACCAAGCAGTAGAAGAAGTGGTCAGTAGCCTCTGGGAGTTTCTTGAGAAGAATCCCAGATACGATCAGGAAAACATCCTGGAAAGGTTGGTAGAGCCAGAGAGAGTGGTCATGTTCAGAGTCCCTTGGAAAGATGACAAAGGTAACTTCCAAGTCAACCGTGGATACCGAGTGCAGTTCAGCTCTGCTATTGGTCCGTACAAGGGCGGTCTGCGTTTTCATCCCACTGTTAACCTGGGGATTCTGAAATTCTTAGGATTTGAACAAATTCTCAAGAACAGCCTCACAACTCTTCCCATGGGTGGTGGTAAAGGTGGCTCGGATTTTGATCCCAAGGGAAAAACCGACAGCGAAGTGATGAGTTTCTGTCAATCATTCATGACGGAGCTGCAGAGGCACGTGGGTCCAGACACGGATGTTCCCGCCGGTGACATCGGCGTTGGGGGCCGGGAGATAGGGTACTTGTTTGGACAGTACAAGCGGATCCGAAACGAGTTCACTGGTGTGCTGACTGGAAAGGGCACGACCTGGGGAGGTAGCTTACTGAGACCGGAGGCTACTGGATATGGCTTGCTGTACTTTGTTCAAGAGATGCTCAATTCTAAAGGTGACAGCATCAAGGGCAAACTGGTCGCAATCTCTGGCTCGGGAAACGTGGCTCAGTACGCCACTGAAAAAGCCACTGAGCTTGGCGCCAAGGTGATCACGCTGTCAGACTCGTCCGGTACTATCCATGATCCAGACGGCATCACGCCAGAGAAACTGGCGTATGTGCTTGAGCTGAAGAATGTCAAGCGAGGCCGGATTAGTGAGTACGCTGCGAAATACGGTGTGACTTACCTGGAAGGAAAGAAACCGTGGGGCATCAAGTGCGACGTGGCTCTTCCCTGCGCCACACAGAACGAAGTCAGCAAAGAAGATGCCGAGGAACTGGTCAAGAATGGATGCATCTGCGTGGCGGAAGGTGCCAACATGCCAACACAACCAGAAGCGGTCAGGGTGTTGCAGAAGAACAAGGTACTGTTTGGTCCAGGCAAGGCCTCGAACGCCGGGGGCGTGGCAGTGTCCGGTTTGGAGATGACCCAAAATAGCATGAGAAGTGCTTGGACAAGGGAGGAAGTTGATGCTAAATTGCAGCAAATTATGAAAGCAGTTAATCTGCAGTGTGTCAAGTACGGCAAAGGGGAAGACGGCTCTGTGGATTACGTGAAAGGAGCCAACATCGGTGGATTCGTGAAAGTGGCTCAGGCCATGTTGGATGAAGGACTAGTTTGAGAAGCTATGTCAAACTTGAATCAAGGCTCTTTAGATTAATTTCATTCCATTTTGAGACTTTCTTTAACTGAACAGATTAAACATTTTCAGAAGCTATGGTTAATATAATAACTGAGTCTAAGATTTACTGTGAGAGCGGAACATGACTTTATATCAATAGTCGAACGTTTTAAGTTGGAAGTAGATTTTAGCACCAGTTTAACAGGTTTACCGCAAAGTGCGCTAATTTGATTCCTTTTAGGCGGGATTGTAATTTGTTTAAAACTCGTTAACAAAGTATAGCTTGTTTGTTTCACTGGCCTGGATTCTTTTTTTTTGAGTATTGATTGACAAATAAATTGCTCAAAAGCTCTTTTGCAACGAGATTTTCTTTACTGTTTCCTCGTGTTCTCTGCTTGAATGTAATCAATTCCGAGATCTGCAACAAATCACGTCACTTCCAATTATAAGAGTTTCAGCCGTTAAAGTTTCGGACGTTTAATTATTGGACACTTTTTCCTCATTTCGGACAAATTTCAGACAAAAATTTCGGACACTGCTGAAACATAGTCTAGGTAGTTTTAAGCATCATCCAAAAAAGACGAATTAGACTGAAACAACATTTGTGAAAACGATAGTTTTACAACAATCGCCTTCAGGTTTTGAAGACACACCAACGACAAAATAACGCAAATTCTATTAAAACCAAAACATGTGCGTTCTATCACGAATAGCGTTCTCTGATTGCCTACGCTACTCACTAAGTGTCTGTGAAGAGAATTTAGATAAAGTTTTGAACGACTGGTAGATTTATGCTAAAACAATTATTCGATCTCGATTTCCATGCGTGATAGTTGACTCGGGCTGCGCCTTCGTCAACTATCGCGCGATAGAAATCTCAAGCTCGTAATCTAATTGTTAAACAGAAACGTTAGTGGAAGTTTGGGAGAACGAGAAATGCTGTAGGAACACGAGCCGACAGGCGAGTGTTTCCTCAGCTTTTTCGAGTGTTTTCGAGTTTTCGATTCAACTTTCACGGGTGTTTCTGTCCAATACATTATACGGTTTTTCTGTTTTTTTCCAAGGAAGTTATTACACTCTGCAGTCACGCGCTAAAATTGCAAGGACCTCGCTGTAATTCCAAGGACCTCGTGTATAGCCTTCTACACAGACTTTCTTTTAGAGGAATGCGTGACAAGCCTAGTCTCTTTAGCAGCCGTTATTTGGGTCATAACGGCTGCCAAGCAAGCTATGAAAAGCCAATGAAAACATCAAAGCAGGAAGTTATTTCTCAAATATCACGCGGCTGGATAATGTCTTGTGGACTTTGACCTCAGATTGTGGACCATGCAGCGTCTCCACCTTCGTCGCGGGAATAACATTACGCTTACTCGCTCCGTTCATAGCAAAGCAGAGACTGTTTTAGCTGTAAAATACAGCTGCCATTGTGCCTACACAAATGAAAATTCTGACAACAGCAATCAAAAAGCAACTTGAGAATGTGGTGTTTCTTTTAAAGTGCCACTGAAACGAAATTTTCGTATTCTGTTTTATTATCCCAATCTATAGTTTCAAACGTGCTTAAAGTAATGGTGAACTTTATTTCTGTCAAATCCTAACGGAAAGTGGTTTT